GAGGCAACACAAGCTCAGGTCTTTGGGTCGATCATAATGTTGCTGAGCGGCGTACACAGAACTATGTGAACCGTGGGGTGAAGAGTAAAATTAAGTGCACTTTGAGACTGCCCGCATCTTGACGCTGGAGTTAGATCTGTGCGCGTGCGTGTGCGCGCGTATGTTCATATGCGCCCAGCTGGTCCGTGCTGTCGGGCCAGACCAAAGTAGGGGCCGTTTAGGCCTGTAGCAGACATTTTGTGGGATGTTTTGTTGAATCAACCAGAGACGGATACCGCGCATGCATGTGGAATGCGTTACGCGGAGTCTTTATGCCGCGTCCTCAGCTGCACTAAGTGGCTGGCGGATTGAATCAAACCTGCCACTGGTTCATGAAAAGGCAAAAGAGAAGGCAGCTGACCCGGCGCTTAGAGTCCTTACTGTAATAAACCTAACGCGCTGAAGGTGGTGGCTTGAAAGACCGACAAATGGGAAATTATTAAAGCCTCATCCGGACAGAAAATTAGACAACCATAACTATTTCTCCATATGGTGGGTGCAACTTTCTTCGAATCGGCAGATGTAAAGTCTACAGCCCGAGGACTTACTTACTAAACCTTACATCAATGCAACCATTCAACAGTCAGAAGGATTTGGGTGCGCGGACTACATCTTCACTCACACCAACAATGAACTGCACGAAGGCGGCCAAGCCGGCCATGTGCACATTTCGGCTCATCGGGCGAGTCTTTACGAGGCGTAACAAATACGGCTTTTAAGAATCTTCAGGAGCTTCGTGCGGCTGCGTCTGGAATACGCTAAACAGGCCTGGAGACCTTGGATCGTAAAGAACTCTACCGTCTTGCGGAAGATCCAGAGACGGGCAGCAGAAATGGTACAAGGCCTGGGGTTAGTGCCCTATGAAAACAGACAGTCATCCCTCAGCCTCTTTCCACTTACCTACAGGCAGTTACGAGGGGATTTCATGCTAACTCTCCGCGTTATGCGTGGTCTGGACTGTTGCCTCGTCCCCAACGATATTTTCACTCAGGCTAACACACCCACCTTGCGTGGTCATCCCCTAAAACTGCGCACGGGGAGAGCTAAGGCTGATGGAAACAAGTTTTTTTTTCAGTAACAGAGTGCTTGAAGCGTAGAACGTTCTGTCTGCAGATGTTGTTCTTTCCTCATGTGTAAGTTCACGGGAACCCAGCCACGACACGCATTAAACTTCTCATTGAGCAGACACCCACACACCTGACAACGCATCATTTAAATTGCATGGAAGCAAACTACTGACAATTAGTAAGTACATGCAAATGTTTATAGTTCAGCATCTTGCTGGGAGCTACTTGCTTTGGGCATGCAATTATGCAAACATTCATTATGCATCGGTTTTTTTTCGACACTTTGTAGTCAAAAGAGAATTCAAAGTCATTTCGCTTATCTTTTACTCAATAAACTGCATGAAACTGAACTGGTCACTTGACAACCTCACCTATGTCAGATCAGAGGCATCGTGCAAGTTTGGTTCAAGTGGGTGTGCTACTTGCATGTGAGCGACGTGCATAAACGTGAACGAAGCCACATGAGCCGCCGTGCCCATGCACACGTCGAGTCAGCCTGAAGTGGCATCGCCAATGGAATATGGTGGGTGTGGGGAAGGAGAGCGAAAAAGGTGTCACGGACGTATCCCTCACTAGAAACTAGTTCTTGTGCTGGTGACTACCGTACACCTTGGACGGTAGTGGTCTGCACCACTTGCAACAACGAACTACTATCTGCATCCGGACAGTGTTTTACATTCCTTCCAATAGTACAGATGTTACGAGATACGGTTGTCGACAGCCCGAAGATTGCCAATAGAAACGAAGAGATGAGTGCCAGGAAGCGGTCTTGAAGAAGAAGAAGAAGAAGAAGAAGAAGAAGAAGAAGAAGACACGATCGCCGGGACAAGAGCTTCATTAGCCTTCTCGCACCACTTGGGTTTGGAGTTGCACACAGACCGGAGGCAACCATCAGGCGTCAGTTACTGAAACCGAAATACCCACTGCCACGGCAAGAAACGTCTGGAGTCTTTTCTCGGATCTGGTGCAGTTGCGGACAAAGCAACTACGTCGGAGAAACCGGAAGACAGCTCCGAACGCGAATCGCCGAACACGCTGCAGCGGTGCGGAGAAATGACGCTAGCTCTCAAGTTGCGGCTCATTCGACGGGTTCCGGCCGCACATTCAGATTTGACGAGGCCGAAATTCTCGCAAGAGGTGACAACCGAGTGAGCCGGGAGCTGCTTGAGTCATAGTTTACTGGCCCACAGTCTATTAACAAGTGCAATGATCTTCCCATTCAATACACCGTGCTGAGACTTCGTCTAGGCGGAGTAATTGGCCACGCGGGGAGCGCACAGGTGAACACTCTTCCCAACACGCGGGTCAGCGCGTCAGATGGTCGAGTAATCATCAAACCAACATCCAACGCACGTGATGAAAGTGCAGCAATTAACGACGCGAATGTCGGCCATCACGCCACGTGCAACGATCCCTGATGAAGGGGGGGGGGAGCCGTGAATGTTCATAGGTATGCGGTGGCATGGCTACGCATCCTATGAGTACTGCAGCCCCTTGTGCATGAACCACCCTTATCTGCTTTTGTCTCTGATGATGGATTCGAGCAGGAATCCGAAACGTCAGGCTAATAAAGCTCTTGTCCCGGCGATCGTGTCTTCTTCTTCAAGTTCGAAGATTTGCATATCAGAAGGTAGGGAAGGCAGCTAGATGGACAAGCTTTACCAAGGCGAGGGAGTGTACATGCAGCATAGCAGGAAGTTGAAGCAAACGTTCTTACCAAACAAGTGATAGCCGAAGTGCATGAGCCTGAACTTCGTCCGACTGCGGCCAATTGAAGAGAGAAATATCGATTGGTGCCACCGTCTCGGCGAGCCGAAGCCTGCCACGCGCACACACGAACGGTGACTGACAGGCGAATAGGCAAATCGAAGGTGCTATAAATAAGCAGCTGCGCCACAGATTAGAAAGCAAACGCAGATCATAAAAGTAGGTGGAGCTTCTTTTGATGAACCCTACTGGACTTATTTTTACAGTCCTCGATATTTTAATACGTTGCTGCCAAAAGTTGAAGGTTTCTGGTGATCTTCGCCGAACTTCCTAAATGTGACTTTTGGAGAGTGGCCGGCATGCACCGACAGGCTAAGCAAAGTGTCAAGTGTACCTTAGGCACGAACCAAAAGAGGCAGGGTGTCGTGACCCATATGGAAGAAAAAACTGATGATTGCTCAGCTCTAGTACAAAAAATTTGCAAATTTCATCATCAATGAGACGTTTTGTCACAGCAACACGGAGCAATATAACAAACAATAGACGATCGAGCCAAAGCTATTATTGAGAAGCTTCAAATGCTTGGAAACAGATCAAAGCTTTAAAGGGAATTACTGACTCCGGAGTAAAATTTCCGTATTTCAAAGGAGGTCCAGCTTCATGAAAAGTAATGCTAACCGTACGTGGCTAGTTAAGAGTCTACGTAGTGTGAAAAGGACTTTAGAGAGGTTAGGAAGCATGTGACTTAACAAATTAATTTACTAACCGGAGCATAAGGGCTGATAAGAATAGATGAGAAGATGTGCCTCCCAAGAATATCTATCGCCAAAGATAATGAAGAAAATTCGTACAGCGGAAATATTAATATATAATTCACAGGTTTGCAATTAATTCTTGATAAAACTGACTGTTTAGCTCGGGAAATAGTCAAGAGGCGCCAGTGCGAAACCCTCATATTGGTAGAGTTAACATTGATGACAATAAACTGCCATGCTCGGGGTCATCAATAGAGGAAAAGTCATCCAAATCTACTCTCCACTTCAGTCTCATTTATCGACTTCGGCCATTAACCGGCCTCATTTGAAGTTGGCCGTGACGGCCAAGAGGGATGGCCTACTCGACGATTTGTCGTTTAACTGTCTGACGTCCTGTGGTTGTTAAGTCCTGTTTGCTGTGGGCTCGATACGTTCCGCCCTAGGCTGACTCAGATTTCACTGAGTGTGACCACGAACGTTGACGTCCTAGTGGCAGGTTCTTATGTACCTGGCGCCTCTTTGAACAGCGAGCACTCGTTCATTCCAGTTTCAACCTGCTATTGTTGTAAGTGGCTGCTCAAATATTTTTTGTTTTGGCGGAAATTCAACACGACGATTGGTTGCCTTGAAGTCTGAATTTCACAAAGTCTGCGGTTCAAAACCACTTTTCTGAGGGTCTTGGCAATGATCCATGCTCAGCGAACTCACTGCCGTTACTGGTGTTCATTATACGATAGACGACATACAAAGGTGGCCACTGCGTCCCATGGTGGCCTTGGGCTACTGGTTTCATGTTCCTTGGTTGTTACCAGTTTAATCGCGCAAGCGCAACTGGAGGAACAATCATTACACTCAGTGCAACAGGGCACGAATGATTACTAAAAAGCCACAGAAAAGTGATTCTGAACAGAAAAATTAGGAAAATTTAGATGTCAACGCAACCACCTGTCCTGCTGAATTTCCGCCAAAATAACAATCTTTCAGCAGTCAGTCACAAAGAAAACAGGCAAAGGCTGGGCCGGCTTAGTGCTCGCTTCTTAAACGGGCGCCGGGCACACGTGGACCTGCCAATAGGGGGATAACATTGCATGGTCACAGCCAATTAAAACGGAACGGGCGAAGGACTGTCATAAAGAACCTCGTCAGTAGCTGGGACCTTCTACACCAATGCCCATCTACGTGGTCTCACCTAGCAGAATGAGAATACATAAAAGCCACAACAACTAGGACTCCACAGCCGCAGGTAACTGGGCAGTCAAAACGCAAATTAATTGGGTAGACAACCCCTCTTGGTGAACTCGGCCAAACAGAATACAGGCCAGCTAATGGCTGAAATGGACAACTGCGATTGAAATAGGCAGTAGACTTGGAGGATTTTTCCTCCAATGATGGCTTTCATCCTGCTATGGGGCACACGTGGACATCGTCGGTCATGACGGTCGAACTGACTGTGCTCTTCCAGGAGATGTGGCGTCAAGGCGAAGTCCCGCAAGATTTAAAAGACGCAACCATCGTGCATCTCTACAAGCGAAAAGGAAACCGCCAACTCTGCGACAATCACCCTGGCATCTCGTTGCTGAATATCGCCGGAAAGATCTTCGCTTGCATCCTCCTCAATCGTCTGAATAATCATCTGGAACAGGGCCTTCTGCCGGAAAGTCAATGCGGTTTCCGTCGCCATCTCGGCACCATGGATATGATCTTCGCCGCCCGATAACTTCGGGAGAAGTGCCAGGAGATGCGGACCCACGTGTACTCTACCTTCGTGGACCTGACGAAAGTCTTCGACACGGTGAATCGTGAAGGACTGTGGAAGATAATGCAGAAATTCGGCTGTCCGGAGCGACTAATTCAGATGGTGCGTCAGCTGCACGACGGCATGATGGCACGAGTCACGGACAACGGGGCCGTTTCAGAGGCATTCGCAGTGACCAATGGAGTGAAGCAGGGATGCGTGCTGGCGCCTACCCTCTTCACTCTTATGTTCTCTGCCATGCTGATGGACGCCTACCGTGATGAAGGCACCGGGATTCGTATCGCCTACAGGACAGACGGCCACCTCCTGAATCCACGGCGGATGCACTTCCAATCACGCGTATCCACAACCACCGTTCACGAACTCCTCTTCGCCGACGATTGCGCCCTGAACACTACCTCGGAAGAGGAGATGCAACGGAGCATAGACCTGTTCTCCGCCGCCTGCGAGAACTTTGGGCTGGTCATCAACACGCAGAAGACGGTGGTCATGCATCAACCGCCAGCCAACACAGCCACAGCCCCCAACGCGCCGCAAATCAGTGTGAACGGAACCCTACTGCAAGTGGGGGATGACTTCCCGTACCTGGGCAGCACCCTCTCCCTTAACACCAAATTCGATGACGAAGTGACACGCCGGATTTCGAAAGCCAGTCAGGCCTTCGGTCGCCTCCAAAGCACCGTCTGGCATCGTCATGGTCTCCAACTGAGCACGAAGCTGAAGATGTATAAGGCCATCATCTTGCCGACGCTACTGTATGGAGCGGAGACTTGGACGCTGTACACAAAGCAGGCACGCCGACTGAACCACTTCCACCTCAGTTGTCTTCGTCGCATCCTGAGGCTGAACAGGCAGGATCGAATCCCCGATACTGATGTGCTGGAACGGACGGGAATCCTCAGCATCTACATCATGTTGAGACAAATGTAAATGCGTTTGAGCGGCCACCTGGTGCGCATGGACGACGAGCGACTACCCAAGCGATTCTTCTACGGAGACGTCGCGACGGTTTCGCATCGTCAAGGAGGCCAAATTCGCCGGTACAAAGATACTCTGAAGTCCTCCCTGAAGCGTCTGCAAATAAATTCGACCACCTAGGAAGATCTTGTTCACGACCGTCTGACATGGAAGAGGACAATGAGGATAGGCACTGCGATCTGTGAAGCCAACCGCATTGCCGCCGCCAAAGTGAAACGCGAAGCGCGCAAATCACAGCGACGCCGAGTCCGCAACGCCGAGGCACGACCGTTTCCAACGTGTCCTCGGTGTCAACGGACACTCCGGGCACGAGTTGGACTTATTGGACACCTTTGGATCAACTGCGCCTCTCGGACCGCACCAAACGTCTTCCCTCCGCCAGCATCTTCCTCGTCCTCTTCGTCGCCAACTAACCCTGACTACTCTTCTGAACCACCACTTCCATCGTCGTAGTCGTCGTCGTCGTCGTCATCATCAGCATCATCATCCTCCTCACCCTCTTCCTCTTCTTCTTCTTCCTCCTCCTCCTCCTACTCCTCCTACTCCCCCGGCTCCTCCTCCGCCACTACCCCAACGACGGCCGCTCTGGCGGCTGTCACGCACGACAACACAACAACAGACACCATCCCTCCTACCTCCGACTCCAGAAATAAAGACCAGGACTACGCCAGCCCTCACTGCAACCGCACCTTCACCCCAAACATCGGCTTTGTCAGCCACTTACGAATCCATCGCACAGAAGCTGGCGAACCAGTGCCTGGAGCAGCAACCTACACCCGACGCACTCGCCTGCACTACCCACACTGCCCTCGTACCTTCACGCATCGCATGGGCCTGTTCGGCCTAAACTAGGTGAAGGTATTTGTGCTAGCACCTCCGCACACGGTAATCTCGCTTCCGCTGGTCAGATGGATCCCCACATTGACATCTCCGAGATGTGGCTCCGTCTGAAACACCGTAGGAGGCTACAAGGTAAGTGAGCCCTCAATTAAGCTGCTGCTTTTGCCTTCGCTTGCACGTCGTCTACAGAACGGACGGCCACCTCCTTAATCGACGCCGAATGAACTTCCAATCACCCGTATCCACAACCACCGCTCACGAACTTCTCTTCACCGACAACTGCACACAACGCCACCTCTGAAGTGGACATGCAAAGGAGCACGGATCTCTTCTCAGCCACCTGTGAGAACATCGGCCTGATCATCAACACGGAGAAGACCGTGATCATGCACTAACCGCTACCCAACACTGCCCACATTGCGCCGCAAATCAGCGTGAACGGAACCCAACTCTAAGTGGTGGGCAACTTCACGTATCTGAGCAGCTCCCTCTCCCGAAACACCAAGATCGATGACGAAGTGACCCGTCGGATTTTCAAGGCCAGTCGAGCTTTCGGACGTCTTCAAAACCCAGTTTTGAATCTTCACGGTCTTCAACTCAGCACAAAGCTGAAGATGTACAAGGTCGTCATCTAGCTGACGTTGGTATATGGATAGTAAATGAGCCGCCTCACAATATCAACGCCCAACCGCCTCCAACGTGTACACCATGTCAACATGCAATCCTGACGCCAATTTTACTTGTTGGACACCTTCGGACCATCTGCAGCACCCAGGGTGTCCCAACTATCGTTTCTCCGCCCACCTCTCCCTCGCCTCCCACGCCGTCAACTAACGTCGACCACCCTCCCAAGCTACCAATACCATCCTCCCGCTCCTTCACAGCCTCAACGCATGCCGATGTGGCGTCTGTCATGCCCATCAGCACTAAACACAATCCTGACAAACCAGCAAACAGCAACACCGCCACCGTCAATACCAGGGATGAGAACCTGATCTATACTTGTCCTCATTGCAATCAAACCTTCACCTCACACATCGGCCCGGTCGGTAAACTTGCGAATCCATCGCATGGAGACTGGCGAAGTAGTGCCTGGAGCACTAGCCTACGCTCCCCCCGTCCGCCTTCACTGTCCAAATTGCACTCGCGCACGACTCTATCAGGCTACATACGTATCCACGAAAACCTGCGGTAGACAGCCACCGGCTGCACCACACCATTACATCCTCACTCACCAGCATCTCACCGCACATTAAAATCGCCCGCCGCAAGCATCCATCAGTCACCTCCCGCGCAAGTGGGAAGTGTCCTTCTTGGCTCCTTCTCCATACGGTTCCCCTGCTTCATGTGTGATTAGAGTCTGAGACGAAGACGGTGCCTTGCGCGCCGTGGATCGAAAGGCAGCCGACTGACGCCCCAACTCAGTCCACGCAGTCTGTCCAGTTGTGTGTATTGTGTGGAGTGGCGGACTAGTGGGCTGAGAGCCAGACCGTCGCAACCCCTTTTTCGAGCGATCTGTGACACTTTCACGCACGTGAAGTGTGTGTGTGCTTATGTGCTAACTCTTTTGTACCCCCAAAAGGGTCACATGGTAGAGGCGCTGGGCCAACACGGGGGCCATTCTGGACCCTGGCAGGCGTTAGCGGATTTGCGCACCCTAACAAATGCCAACATTTCGGTGTGAGATGGCGGACCCGGTTGTCGGCAGACGTCACGCACACTGGGACCCCACCACCCCCATTGTTGTTGTTGTTGTGAACCAGGGGGCGTAGAGTGGAAAACCAAGGTGCAGGCTCGACCGTGCCATCCACCTGCGCCCATCCCCGCTTCCGGTCGTCTTGACTCTGTCTGGACCACGGGTACAGGTGGAGAGTGGGGAATAGAGAGCGTGGTAGTTGCTACACAAGTCTGATATTACTATAAACTAATTCACTCGCAAGTCCTCGCGCCTGCTGCACCTAGCTGTGTAGCACACGGTGGACATCGTCGAACGCGACGGTTGAACTGTCGGGTGCTTACGGGTAGTGACGCTCAGTCGATGACTGCTTAGTTATCTAACCTTGAAGGGTGACGGCCCATGCTAAATGCAGGGCCAGGTATTGCCCTTTTAGATCAAAACGGTTGGAATCATGTGATATGCCAGTATCATCAAACTATGGCCCTCGTAGCCTTGTATGCGCTGGCGGTTTCCTGATACCTGGTTCCCTCCCTGTACATTCGCTTCCGCTCCCGCTGTGTGTACAGATGGTGGACATGGCTGTCCAGTTATCCTCGTCCTTCTGACCCCTGTTGGGATGTTGTTGTTGTTTTTGGTGAACAATCCTGGTCAAGTGTATGTTGTGGACAAGGGAGTGTGGCGGTCCGCTTAAGTGTGGATCCGGCCGCACCAGCGACCTGCGCCCCCCCCCCGCTTCCGGCCTTCTTCACTCTGTCTAGATCCCAGATTCCGGTGGAGAGTGGAGAGGAGAGTGTGTGGTAGTTGCTGTGCAAGTATGATAGCACTACAGACTAATTCACGCGCGATTCACCGTGACTGCTGCACCTGGCTGTGTAGTACACGGTCGACATCGTCGGAATTGACAGTTAAATTGTCGGTAGGCGACTACCAGTTAATCTAAATAACTTGCTGATGAATACTATTCTCTGGAATTGGTCTGTTCGCCGTCTACATTTCAACAACCAGTAAGTTCAGAGAGTGACGGTAAACTCTCTTTCACGTCTCTCTGCTTATCTCCCATCCCCGCTTCCTTCCACCCACTTCGAACATCCTACGGAGAAATTGACATGCGATCCTGGGGCTGGGCCCCGCCTGGGCGGGGCTACGACGGGGCTGTGCACGCGATAGCCCCGTCTGGCCCCGTCCTCGAAAAAAAACGCGCAGGGGGGCGCCATGCTCGAGCAAGGAAATCTCCTTGATAATAACGCCACATTTACGTTACCAGTATTTTCCCTTTCGTAATTCTCCGTACAGTAGGTTATATTATTCGACTTTTGATCGCTGTACACCCATAACCCTTACGTGAACAAAATGTTACCCACCTTCATTTACAATAGTGAATGCAAGCTAAAAAGCGAAATCTGTCTAAAATAATGCATAATGACGTCATTAGAAGGGATGGAAATTCACCAAAATTTGGACGGGGCCTGGCTCCGTCTGGCCCCCGGGGCCATGTGTTGGCAGGGTCCCCTATTAAATATACTTTTTATTGTTCTGAGAAATCTCAATTTACTAGAATAAAATTTCTATGGGTAAGAGGGCTCGAAGCCGGCCCTTCTTTTCTGTTTCACCTTGATTCTAGCCACAACTCTCCGCACATCGACATCCTAATCCAAACGGATGAGAATCACGACTCGTTATTCCTCCATTGTCATCCAACCGCCTCTTCGCTCTTCATGTAAGCGTTTCATCTTTTTACCCCTAAGTGTATTTTTCTCTTGAACAATTTTCCATTTGAAAGTAGGTCGTTCCCTGAATTATAGAATTCGAAAGTAAACTACAATAGCACCTTAGCTCGGACGATGTAAAGTCATTATTGTCCGTTTCATTCCCAAACACTCGACTTCTAGACTTAAATACAGTTATCCTGGAATGTTGAGACAATTAGAATATGCTTATTATTACGAATGGAAGGGGATATGAGAGTTCCAGGACCTTGCTACTAAGGAGATGAACGCGGGAGCACTGGGACAGTACGTGTATTAGTCCGATCTTTCGATCACGTACAGGAAGCCATCATCAAAGACTGCGAAAGTGCGGAGTCAAATGAACAGTTTTGTAGTCATACAAAGAAGGGGGATAGGAGTGGGGGGGGGGTGGTGTTCGCGATAAGGCTGAGTCTACACCGTCTCACGGCGGCGCGAGTGAGTGCGCCCTTGGCTGGGAGTTGGGTATCGCCTTATGGCCGCGAAGACGCAACGCGTGATAGCAGAGGGGTATATCAACGTGTTTTTTTGATGGAGATTGTGTCAGACACCCAGTTTTCTAGGCGTTCTCGACGTGTCTTATTGCTGGCTCACGCCATTATCCGCTTGCTTGTGAAGTTGAATTTGTGGTCTTCCTCCAGAGTGCGAGTAGCGACCTGACACAATCGGTCGCTTCTACGGACTGCCCGTCTGTGCTCCTTTATTCGCGAGCTATACACCGTGGTATTTGATTCTCCATTGGGCCTGCGTTTGAATAGGTTGTCAAGGAAAAGCAACTTTTCGTCATGCTCTCCTTCTCTTGGAACTGAATGTTGCAGAAAATGCCGTTAAGCCGGCCATGCAAGTCTGGTACTCTCAATTATAACGAACTTGTCTTCTGTGTATCGTCGTAAAAATGTAGGTTCGACATGACTGACGGCGACTTATTCCAGCTCCTGAGAGACTATTTTCGCAACCAGGCTGGATATTGGCACTTGAGCGCTGCCATCCTCCTTAGAACACAGAAAAGATATCTAAAATAAACTCAAACATTCTGCCTGCGATCTGACTACAGTAGTCTTAAGTGTGTGTTCAGTCAAATGAACGAATTGGAAGTTTGTTTTCAGTCAATAAAAACCTTATTTTCAAGGCAAGATAATAGGAAAAATTATAAAAAACGAGATATAGAGTAAGGGGGTCTAATTTAACTTAATTTTAAGTCACCAATGTTCTGCACTTCGCGAAACGTGAATAATGTCGATTTCGGCCAGAGGATAAATCAGCCACGAATTCATCTATCAAGATGTTTGCTTTTGATATTCGCTAGTGCAATGGTCCACACGTCTGGCCGCGTTGTCTAAATAAAGTGAACGCTTTTGGCGCGGATCCAGGACTGAGATGGTGTAACCGCATGTTGGCGAAAATAGCCGGTTCCCTGCCACCCACATATTCATCGACTTCCCCCCTGCAACTTACTTTGAGACGCTCGTGCCGCGTCGGCACCTTCCACGGCCCCGCAGTGCAAATGGCCCCAGCAAGGTATTCTTAAACGTATGCATGACAAGCATGTTCGCGTCATCTCCGCACACAGACGGAAAATTTTCC